GTTCCAATAACTTGGACCGATTTTATATGTAAATTAAGTTTAAGCGTCTAATTTTTTTTCTTTTTCTTTCAGATTTAACAACTTAAGTCTTTGGCAATTTCAACCATGGAAAGATTAACAATCAAACAACGTGTTAAATTATTTGAAGCCTATTACACAAATGGACATTCAAACAGAAATAAAATAAGAATTTCCTCAGGTCGCCTCATTTATCGAAACAGCGAAGTCAATTGTCCACCATGATCGTGCGACTGGACGCCTTTAGATTTCTTCCTTTGGGGTCATCTCAAAAGTAAGCCTATGCCAACAAGCCAATGATAATTCAGCAGCTGAAGGATGAGATAATAAGGCATATTGGTGAGATCGAGGAGCAACTATGTAAAGACGTCATGAAACATTTTGATTATCGAGTGGAGGTGTGCCGGCGAGGCCTTGGCGGACATTTGGGGCGATATTATTTTTCACACATAATTGACATGACGTAAATAACAGGATCCAATTGAGAAATAAATAAATTTTCACCAACAACACTCATTTATTTGCCACTGACTTTGATCCTTTTAAATGAAACACCCTTTATTACCTTTGCGATGACCAAATCTGAAGTTTATCACCGAGAATTATGTAATCAGCACACTTCCAATGCAGTTCCATCCTAGCGGAAACTTTTCTCAGTCTGATCAAAAGAGAAAACTATTAATTAAGAAGAAAATGTATTGAAAGTACACTGATCTAACACTTCTCGATGATAAACCTCAGACTGGGCTCATACATAATGCTCTTTCTTGTCATTGGATTTGAGGAAGTAATTTCTTTAAATTTATATATATATTTAAAATTTATTTAAGAAATAAAATGACGATAAAATAACTGATAATGAATAATTGACGATAAAATAATCGATTCAAAATATTATTTATGAAATTATAATTTCATAAATACTTTTAAAATTTTTAATATTTAAAATTATTTTTAAATACATGTCTGCGTAATGTATGTGTGTGTGAGAGAGAGAGGGAGAGAGAGAGAGAGAGGGAAAGAGAGAGAGAGAGAGAGAGTAAACCTGGATAAGAATCTGACGTAAGTTAAGACTATTTTTACTTTGACGATTACTAATTTTTACCTTGGCAATTGCTAGTTTTTATTTTGAATAATCAAAGTAAAAATTAGTAATAAAAAATAATAATTTTTAAATTTGACTATTGCTAATTTTTACTTTGACTATTGCTAATTTTTACTTTGACTATTGCTAATTTTTACTTTGACTATTGCTAATTTTTACTTTGACTATTACTAATTTTATACTTTCACAACTGCTAAATTTATATTTGATTATTGCTAATTTTTACTTTGAGTATTACCAATTTTTTCTTTGACTATTATTAATTTTTATTTTGACTGTTGCTAATTTTTACTTTCGTCGATGGACAGGTGTCATTAGAAAAAAGCTAAAAGTGACAAATCTACGTTGACGAAAGAAAAAACTGATTTAATTTAAGCATCTGCACCAATTTAACTTACAGAAATAGAAGTTATAGAAATTTAATTAAATTAGACTTTAATCAATTTTGATTCAGTTGATATTTCATTTATTTATTTATTTATTTATTTATTTATTGTCTCCTAGGTTTACGGATTCGCAATAATTTCAGTGCTATCTCATTTTCTCCTCCTGTTCAAACTAAATTAGCAATTATGTACTGAAACTGTGTGAAATATGAG